ATTGTAATCAAAATTTCAATACTCTAAATTCCCAAATTTCAATTTCAAATAAAGATATTGATAAATAAAAAATTAGAAAACTAAACAAAGTATAATCTGCTTTGATACCACATGATAAAATTATATATTGGATCAATACTAGAACTTAGAATACCAAATCAATATTTATAAATCACTTACTTCTTGTAGGCATCTTTATAATGAATCTATTATCACAACATTAGTTACATATTCATTTGTATATATCAAGAATAACTCTTTCACTAGAACTCCTATTTGTCATCACTACCTTTTAGATGAAGCAAAAATGATAGTCATATTATTTATAGGAGTTTAATGGGACCATATCCTTTCAGCTTCTAAAACTCTAACTTAATATCAATTTATTATAGATATTAAATTAATCAAATCCCGCATAAAAATATAAAATACACTTATTTATTAAACTTGACCCAATAATTAAATATATTTATATGATAATTTTTAAATCCAAAATAAATCACATAATAAAATGGATTAATAGAATATATATATATATATATATATATATATATATATATATATAATTGTAGTTCAAATAAATAAAAGTTCTTACATTAAAAGGTAAAGAATAAATAATATAATTTAAGTGTTTGAATTACATTAAAAATGAGGAGGTGAAGCACAAGTGTGTATATATAGACCTGTTGGCGAAACATGGAAATGCTTTCTCGGTGTTTCGTGCTCCTTTTTGTGATTTCTGTGTGGTTTATTTCTCCTTTGGTTTACCAAATAAACTAAAACTAGATCATGTAGCTAAGTTTCTCCACAGTCACCATGTTACAAAATCTATACCATTGATTGGTTATTATTACATATTATATAATATAATAATATGTAATAATTATTCAATTCAATTAAATTAGATTAGATTTTCATCTTCAAAATTCGTAATCTAATCTGAACTTATTCGATCAGCAATTTTCAATCTCATCGAAATTTTTTATTTGAATTGATTTGGATTCATTGATTAATTATCCGATTCGTGAATCGTGACATCCTAATCTGAACACCTTAATCATTATCGGTGACCACCTTAAACAAAATTATCTATTAGTATGATTTATCATGTTATTATTAGTGTTACTTTATAATATTAATATCAATAAATTAATTTTTATATGACAAAAAAAATCCTAGCGGAAGAGAATATTACGTAAACCAGTAACATATGCATATGTTTTTGTCTTATTTTTTGGAGTGACTATAACGAGTCCAGTTTCATCTGTTGGGGACGGTGGACTGGAGCCTACTAAAATTTGGGCTTTTGTATGACAAAGACACAATATTGGGTCTCTAGACTTTGCCAATCTCTTGGTTGTTTTGTACTGACATCAAAGTCCAAATCCATAAGCTAAGAGACTTTTTTTTTTCTTTAATTTTTTATTATTATAACATTGTTGTTTACAGATGACGTGCTTCCCTTTGTGTTTGCCATGTATGTACTTTGGTCGACCCAAATGAAGAACGAAAACGACAAGAGAACCAATGGTCAACACATACACGAAGATATAGATAGCCTCGAAAGAAAAGCCACGTACATGATCATGTGACCCTAAGCAAGAATATGCCAGGTAAATGAGAAGTTTGCATGCAACGTTTAATCTCTATATGAGATTCGGTTCTAAGAAATTTGTGTCATCCAAAGGTGTGAACTGTGAACCAATCCATTCAGTACTAACTAGTCTGCCACAACAAAAAATTGTGTGGTTTTCATAGCAAGATACCGGCAGATATTCTTAAATATTCATATGGTCCAGATTTTATTTAATTATTCTGCCACATCAGTACTCAACTCATCTAGTGTTTTGCACGTACTCTGCATCTTAAGTTTTCTCCACAAAATGGGAACTTCTTCACATCATGAATATGTAGTACGTTTCTAGGTTTATTTCTCCCAGACAGATCCATTTTTAATGCGCAAAAGTTATATGAAGTGAGTGAGAATTAATATCAACACGTAGTCATACAAAAAAACCACCAAAGAAAACAAATAAAGACGCTGATTATTAAAAGAGAGAGTTTTCAACATAAAGAGCTTTGTATATATCACCAAAAATACAAGTATCAAAGTATCGTATAATGACAATATCAATCAATCGATGTTTTTTTAAATTGAAAAAGTAAAACAAAATAAGAGGAAAACGACGCAAAGAGCAAAAGAACGGCATGATTAAAGGTTCATAAATGTAACATAAGAAAGATACAACGGACACAAGAAAAGACAAAATTACCTTCCATACATACACATATATATATAAATAAGGTATTGTGATACAAATCAAATCTCATATTGTTAGAATAAGAAGGGAAACAAGAGTTACATACATACTTCATTGATTGAGAATCTTTTGAGTGATGTGTAAAAATAAAATCATGAAAATAATCATAAAAGTTTAAAGTGGACAATATCTTATTGATATGAAGTTGTATGTACAAATATTTCAAATACCTTGAAATAACCTAAAAAATAATAATAAGATATAACCTTCCCATTAATATAAGAGTTAATCATCCATAAACTAAACTGCCAGTGTAAACTTTTTTATACTACTAACCAATCATATATTTTAAATTATTTTATTTTATTATTATTTCATTAAATAAGCAACTGATATGACATTATTAAAATATATAATTGGTTGTCAGTGTAAAATTTTTTTACACTATCAGTATATAGGTAATTAACTCTTAATATAAATATATTTTCTGAAACAAGAATACAAAACATAGTCATCCTCTTGATATAAATATATCTTTTCAAACAAAAATACAAAACATAGTCCTAACACAATAACTCTCTCTCTCTCTCTCTCACTCTCTCTCTCTCACACACACACACATATATATATATATATGAGGAAGAATCTACTTTAAGTTTATTTACGTTTATTTCAGTCAATAACTCATGTTGTATATTAAATTTTAATGATATAATTATTTAATTAAAACTTTTTAATGCATAAATTAAATTTGTAAATTGTTTAAAAAATTAAAAATTATTTGACACTTTATTTCATTAATTCAAATTAGTACATAAAATATTTTTATAATTATTTATCGGTTTGAATTAATAAAATGAAGTATTAAATGATTTTAATTTTTAAAAAATTTACAAACTTAATTTATGCATTAAAAAGTTTTAATTTAACAATTAAATTGTTAAAATTTGATATAAAACATGAATTATTAAATTAAATAAATTTATTAGTGAATCATATATATTTATATGTGTGTGTGTTCTATATCAAAATTAATCAATATAATTCACTATAAAAACATGTATTTAGATTAAAAATATATCATTAAATAGTTATGACATCTAATATGTAGTATTATTATCACTTCATTTATATAATGACAAAATTATTAAGGCATCATGTGTTGTGTTTAATGAAATATATTTGACTAGTTTTACGAAATTGTGTGGTGTGTGTGTTGATGGTATATACATGAGTAACATGACTAATCTAATAGATAAACAACTCTTTAAATTTCAAGAAATATATATATATATATATATATAAGAGATCACCTGATATGTATGTGAAGAGATATACAATGTCATGTAATAGAGTAATTTTGATGAAACACAGTAACACAGGCATTAAAGATTTTTTTTTGGACATAAAATACAGGCATAAAAGATGCTCACTCTAAAATAAAAGGCTGCAAAATGACTGTTTTTAAAGTAATTAAAATTAATCACATAAGTACGTTAGAGAAATATAGAGCAAAAGAAAATAGAAATCAAGATGCTAATAAAAAAAAATTAAGATGCTGATAAAAAAAATTAATAGCAAAACGTGTATTGAAATATATTTTAAAAAATATTAATTAATCAATATCTCTAAGATAAAAGAAAAATAATGAAAGAGAGAACAACGTTAAAAAAAGAACTACACAATTAAAAGTGCATATAAGCTAGCTTAATTATTTTTCGTAAGCTACTTGGCAAGGATTTGGAAGGCTGTTTCTTTTTATTATTATTTTAGTTGACTTTTTCATTATAAAAATATTAAAAATTACTAAATTACGGAATTATGCAGCCGCGTTAAATCTTGGGGCCAACTATCCCACCCTTTGAGGTGCCTCCAACGTAGTGAGAAAATTAGTCACTGCTGTCGGCAGTGAATACTCCAAGTACGAACCAAAAAAAAAAAAATTACGGAATTATAAGAATGCCATCTGCTGGAAAGAGTGAAACAACAATATCCTAATAAATGAGAAGAATATTCATTGAAAAATTGTTTCAACCTACGCCTCCTTAATCATATTACCAGACGTGTTATGTTCTAAAAATTAATGGCAGGCTAACCATCAATATTTATGAATATGAGTTAATAGAATTTTAAAAATTATATCATAAGGTAAAGAATATTCCAAAGACTAATGTTACTTAATAATAAAGAATACACGTTAACAAGTCAACCTCATATCTACATGCATTTCAAGTTTTACATGTTAATTTTGTAATGCTTTCTTTGTAATGCATTTCATTGATATTATACACGTGTACATAAATTATCATATCAACTTTAATTTTCAACATTGAAATTCTCATTGTAGGTAAACTTTAGAAGAAACAAATTTTTTTTTCAATTACTACTAATAATTACTGAATAAATATTATAAAAGAAAGTATAGTGTTATCATTCCTCATAGTTAAAACTATGAGAAGCTAAATTCATGTTGATTGTAATCTCAAAACCTCTCAAATCTCAATGGAAGGTTGGCAATTAAGTTTGGGAAGCCTGTGATTGTATAACTAATGACCTAGAATTAGAAAACAGAGACAAGAAGAAGAATCCAAAGGTTGTCAATCCAGCAGTTAGAGGGGTCTACATCGCTTTCATTATTTGATGATGCCCTAAACTCTGGACACGTTTCGCCTTGAGGCTTGTGAAGTTGAGAGGCCCCCGCAAATGAATTTTGTTTTAAAGTTTTAAACGAGAACGGAATCACAAAAACATTAACATCATGAAATTCGTGGATTGTGGCCTCGTTTTATTTAGGACCACATGAGGAAGTCCAAGCAATGAAAAAGTATAAAGGATGAAAAAAATCAAACCGACAAGGTTAACCACCAACTGTTATGAATGATTCTTGGAGACCAGCTACTTCGTATCCATTCTACATCTTCTGAATAATCTACATTTGTTAAGGTAATATAATCAAAACAACAAAGAGGCAAATACAATAGTGGGTTTGCATTACAAAGAGAGGGTTTTTCAGTGGTTAAAAGAAAAGGACATAAAAAAGTGAACCTTGAGTAAATAACGTTCGCTATCACTACCACAGATTCTTGTCCAAGCAACACCTGCAACCTACCTAATCAAACATAGAGCAAAGTGAGAAATTTTTAGGTTTTACAAAGTGCTACAAAAGGACATCATCATCATCATATAATGGGGGGTTAGAACTTAGAACTTAGAAACACCACAGTAAATCGTTTCCACATTATATCCTGATCCTGCCAACTTTGGAATGATCAATGATGCCTCCACCACATGAGTGATAAAAACTCACTACTTGAAGGTTAATTAATCTTGATCCATTGTGGTTCATTTAGGACTTGAACCCAAGTAACCAAAGCGATTGGCCAACACATTGACATCTTCTTCATCTTGGCCTTGTGGGATATCAAATTCACCCTCAAAACCCTCACTGAAAAATTCTTCCCAAAACCCTTCATCAAGCTCTTTCTCAAGCCTCTCTTGTGACTCGAATACCTCAGGCTCCTCCTCTTGCTCCCTCCTCCCCCTACCATAGCCTTGCATCTCCATAGCAAGCAATTCCAACTCTGACACTTCAAATCCATATTCTCCAAACACTAGTGACTCGGCTTTCACACTAGCCCTTCCTAATTCCCCTCTGCTTGATTCTCCAACCCCACTATGCCCTTGCTCAATTGGCCTTCTCCTCTTCTTTGACATGGCCTCTTCAAGCTCCTTCCTCTTCTCCTTCTGCTGAAGTAGCTGCTGAATGAAAGTGGGGTTCTTCAAGGCTCTAGCCAAAAAAGCCATCATTTGTTGCTGCTTAATTTCTGTCCCTCTTAGCCTCTTCTCCATTGCCTCAAGGTACGACTTTGTGTTCTGTTGCTGCTGTCTAAGCCTCACAAGCTCCAACATCAAAACCTGTTTGTCACGCTTCAAACGATCAACCTCTTCATCTAGGCCAAAACGACCAACTTCAACACAGTGACCTTGTGCTTGTTGAGAGGGACAAGGCTGGGAAGGATGCTTCCTTCTCCTTATGTTTGCCAACAAGTGTCTATGCCCTCTAAGAAACCCTTCATTTGCAAACTCCCACTTATCTGGATCAATTTTCCTAAAACCCTGTGAAAGTGAAATCAAAATCATAAAACACATCACATGCTGAGTAATAAATTCGGACTACAATTGCAATAATTATGATAGAAAATGGACAAAGTAGTAGAGAATGATGCCAAACTGTACCACTAGGCCACAGCAGGAGCAAGTGGGATGGGAGAAAGGAGAAATCTAGAAGTCTAGAACAACCCACAAGACATGTGACTAAGTGTATGTTTGTTTTGTTGTTGAAAATTTGTAAACTCAAGTTGAACGGAAAAGATAGAAAAATTTGCTTTATATTTTGGTGTTTGAAAAGAGTAATTTCACATTTTGAATTAAATGAACACATTTTCAAACATGCTATAAATATTCAAAGAGTACAATACTATATGATCATTTTTTAATTGGTTTTAATATTAAAACATGAAAGCTTACCACAGTGACTAGGGGAAAGAAAAGATAAAGTGATAAAACAGTGAAATTACTCGCCATTTCAAAAGCTAACAGAAAAAGAGAGAGAAAGAGAACTTATTTTTCGTTTTAGGAAAACATGGGATTGTTTCTTAATTGGTTACTACATATCTCTGCAAGTAAAACAAAAAGGACAAAACTTATTTGCACTTCTATAAATATTTTTTTGTGTTGTTTTCTTATCAAAATTAATTTTTATTAAATATTAACGTGAAGTGTATTTATAGAAGTAAAACTTTAATTTTAATTAAAGAATAGTACTAAAAGTAGCTACCAAACTGAATCAAAGTTTTGTCGAATTCCAATCATTAATCCCATGAAACCAGAAGGATTAGAAAGAAAACAAGTGAAGAAGATTGTGGTGAACAGGGCACTTACGTAAGTGTTTAGTTGCCTAACAAAGCTTGAGAAATTATTGTGCTTGAAGTATCTTGGAAGAAGGTCTCTGGAGAAAGCGTGTGGATCCCAAACCACAAAGCTTGCACCTCCTCTGCTCCATGAAACTATGTGACTAGTGGTGGGGTCCTCCACTGCATCGAAAGTCTTGGTAAGAAACGGGGGTGGCCCTATTTCGTGAAGCCCCTCCATTGGCCTCGGAGCAGGAGCCATCCCTGACTCATCAACTATTCCGTGAGTTGATAGTGATAAAGACGATGGTGGTGACGATTCCAAATACTCTTCTTTCACCGGGTACAAATAGTTCATTTTTGGGGGGGAAAAAAACTAGATTGATTATGATTCTAACAAAGTTAATTTAATTTAATTCACTCTTGTGATGATCAAGTTTATCTTCATGTGTGGAAGAAAATAAGCAGATTCGGACTTGCCATAAAACACAGAAGAAAAATTCATACAACTAGAAAAAGTAAAAAAGAAAAAAGAAAAATGGAAACAGAGGAGAGAGAAGCAGAGGAATGAAAAAAACAGAGGAAAAGTGGATATAATGCAGGGTAATCGGAATGGGATTGAGGGCAATAAGTGAAACGTGGAGTAAAAAGTGAAGGTTTGGAATTTGGTTTGTGAAAGAAGAATGCAGAGGAGTATGTTTCCTTGTTTGGAAAGTCGTTTAAGCAGTTAAGAAGGGTGGTGTGTGTGTCATAGCAGCTACCTATCTAGGAAGGAAGCTGGACAAGTGTTTTAGGTGTTTAAGTAGAAAGGAATTAATAGTGGAGTGTAGTGCAAAATAAACAAATTAAATAATATGTTAAATAATAAAATAAAAGTAGAAATTAGAAGAACATTCTAGAGATGTTGGAAGGAATATTGTGTTATTTTATTTAACCCCTTTCCGCAAATAGCAAGTGGATGAGAGAGAGTGAGGCTCGGAAAGTTCTGGAAGTTACAGAGGCAGCAACACGGTGTAGTGGTGGGGATGTCTGGTTTTTTAATGCTGTGGGATTCACATGTTTGAGGAGAGTGGTTTTGGACTTTGGTTCGAATATTGATATCTTTTTTAATATATGATATATGATCCCAAATTGATGGTAACATATGTAAGAACTAAGAAGCCACTTGGTTGATTAAAATTGGAAGATTCAAAACCACAAAGAATTTATGGAAAGGGTTTGCGGAAGCAGATGGAAGAAGAAACACTGGCTTGGATTTGTTGTCAGAACAAAATTTGCAAGTCTAATTTTGTCATTTTTTTTTTTTTTTTTAATATAATTTCTCATTGGTCTAAGGAGGGAGGTAAGCTTAAATCTGCCACTAAATCCGACAAAAAACCTGCCTTTGGGATGTCCGTACACAAAAAATCTAATGTCACCTCACTGCTTACTTTTTCTGGGGCAAAATATTTCATGAACAACAAAAAAAAGTTGTTTATTACATTTTTTAATGTATTTTTAAATTTGTTTATATAGTAAAAAATGATTAAGTATATTGTTATATACCATATCAACTTTTTTAGTTTTACAAAGAAAAAAAAACAGCTAGATATTTCAATGAAGAAAAAAAACTAAAAGAATAAATATTTTAGTCTTCATGAATAGTTTCACAATTTTTGAAAATGGTTAAAAGTGTATTTGATTGATTATAAACATGTTTAGGAATATTTACACATGTTTTTTTAATGAAGCAAAGATTTTCATATTTAGTTTTAATATTATTTTTTCTCAAGTTTATAGGTGTTTTAAAAAAATTTAGTAAATTTTAATATTTTATTTATTATACAATAATCTTTATTGTTATTTTTTAAAATGGAAAAATTATGAAAATATTTATTAATACTTTATTAGGTATTCCCTTACTCTTATGTATTTGAGTGTGATGAGAAAATTCAAGTTATGTAACTCATTAGATTTTTTTTTGCATTTATTAGTTCTTTTTATATAAAATTATTATTGAATGTTATTAATTTTGATTTTTAAAATACAGAGATTATTTAGTTGTAATGATCAAAAGACTTTTAAAATTCAGGGATTAGGAATCCATTTTTAATTTGGAAAAATTAGAAGATAAATAAATAATTGTGAATAAGATGTTTCTCGAAACATGAGAATTTCATGAAAATTAAATAATAAAGAGATCCAAAATTTTGACTTAGAACACTATATGTACTCTTCATTCAAACGGTATGGATATTTCTTGTCAAATCATTATTAAATATAACAAGCATTTTAATATGTTTTTATCTTAAAGATGATTTATATTTATTCAAATTATCTTTGAGTACAATAGTTAACGAAAATGTTGAATCCTTAAAAAAGAATGGCTGAAAAATTAATTGAAACATATATAAGTGAATATTATACTTTTAAAAAATTTAACAAATGCCACTTTATTATATTTATTATTAATATAGAGGATGATTCGATCATTTTTTTTAAATATATAGCATCACTCTTTTGTTAAAACTGATAAATTTTATACAATTGTCTTAGACTTTGACTCCTTTGTTTAATTTCATTTTTTATTCATAAATTTCTTTTTACTTTGACTTTGTCTTTATTAAAGTTTTGATGACTTCTGCTTTGTCCTCATCAAAACGTAATAAATATGTCTATAAGTCATGCTCAATAATATATAACATTATTATTTTCATATTTATTTTTAAACGTCACTCTATATATATATATATTAATTCAAACTTTGGAAATTATACTTTCATCAACCAATTGTTCCTTCTTGTTAGATTTTTATTGCTTTATTCCTTTTTTATAGTGTCTTCTGAAAATTTCTCTACAACTTGATTTTAGTCAATCTCTTTGCAGTTTAATTTTTATCAAAGTCACATATTTTTTTTTTCATCATACTTATATATACTTATTTTTATTATATTTATAGTGAATGTGAAATTTTTGATACATCACCTTTTTTGGTCAAAAATTAAATATTGTAAATATGAATTTTATAACATTAAATAATCGTGAGTAGTCAAATAACAACCTAATATCAAGCTCTTGGTAAATCCAACCACAATTGTTAAAATCAATAAACTCTTTTAGAATTTTGGATTTTGAATTCAACAAAATCCCAAAAACTAGTTTAGAAACATTATTTTAGTTATATCATTAGTTAATATAGAATTCTTAATAAACTAAATAAAGTTATAAAAATTGAAAAACAACTAAACCGAAAGATTAAAAAAAAATGAAAACTAAAAAGTACATTTTTATTGTTCTTTGGTTCCAGTTTATTTATTATTTATATCGTTAAAACTTAACCGAGCAAAAACAAACTAAATTGTAAATGTTTTTAATATTTATTTTCATGTGTAAGATTATATAGTAGCATTTTGAACTTTTGATATTAAATTATGATTTTATGACATTTGTAGACGTAACTAATTGACTACAATATATAATGGTAATTTTGATAATGTATTATCATTATATGTGCGTCTTTTTTTATCCTATTCCTTATGATTAATATGTAAATATCATGTTTAAGGATAGACTATTTTGCTTTATTGTGTTAGTTGTGAAATTAAATACTATAAGAAATAATATTTAAAAAGTTGGTAAATAAGTTTGGAAAGTAGTGAAATAAATTAGAATTGATTTATCTTAAGGAAATAACCTATTAAAAGGCAAATGTAAAATAGGAATGCATTTGTTGGGAAGCAAAGTAGTGTGACACGTCACAAAAACTGTAGTCGAATATTATTCATGCCCTAGATATGAGTGAGTGAGTGAGTGAACCCATACATGATACAACACGAGAAGCTTCTTCACCACCAAAATGTCCAGCCTGTATTTTTTATAATATAAAACCCGTGAGAATAGCAAGTCGTATCAATATCACCCCTTTTAAGATATTGTGAATCGCCACCTTATTCATTATATAATATATACTATATACTATTACTTTCTCACCCAATTAAATTAATCATCGCATTGGTTCTCACTTCTTACGTGATACCACTATTATTATATTGCTCAGCTGCTTTGGACAGAGTATCCTAATGGCACCTAGCCACATTAATTATTAAATATTATTCAAATAAATCCCATGAATGTTCTACAACGTTCTCGAAACTACTAGATTTCTATCATCTTATGTCTTATTTTTAGTTTATTGGTGTCTCCCACCCCACCACCCCCTCTTCGAAACGATAGTTTCTGTCCTTTTTTGTTTTCTCTAACCTAAATGCTTATTAATTATTATATACTCATGTCACACTAAAATTCTTAATACATATATTTTCTTGTTGAAAATTTTCTAAACGTACAACTTCCACTTTTTCCATAACCATAACCCTTTATTTTAATTTGTGGATCAAATCAATCCTGGCCGTGGTAGGTCGGGCAAAATGTCAGCTTATGATAATTAACTACACTTGTTATACTTTTGTATCTTATTCTTATATCATCATTGAAAATATTACTTTATTTTTAAATAAGTGAATTTGATGGAAGAGAATACATATTTCTTAGATTTATTTTATGGTAAAATCAGATATGATTTATATATGCTTAAAGATTTACTCAAATTTACAATCACTAGATAAGTAGATTCAGTCCACGCAACAGCAGAGCAGAATCAAGAAACAGAATACAAGAGTCATACGAGATTCAACACCCAAAATCCCACACAAGAAAAAAAAAACTAATATTGAGATACTCTAAAAAAGACGAACATGTGTAATATTAAAAATATATTTGCATATAAATTATGAGAAATATAGCATTTACAGTTTGAAGGTGGAAAACAATTAATATAGTGAAAGAATGGAAGAAGATGATGCATTGGGTGGAAATACAGTAGTGTGACACGCCACCTATATCCATTCCTAGGGATGTGAGTCAGTGAGTCAGCCATATCCAACTTGCATTTCTTTAATCTATATCCATCACCCCTTTTAATATTATATGCATCGTCACCTTATTATTCTGCATAATTTTAATACTTTGTGTACTATGGTTCAGGGTTGATTCTTCCTTAGTTCTTGTTCTTGAGCTATGACACTAATATTATATTATGGAGATCGATTGCGTGGATAGGATATCATGACGAAACGTAGCAAAAAAATCTATTCAATATTATGGAAAAAATTAAACCTATGAAACTTCTGGAAAGTACTAGATTTTTTATTTTTTTAATTTGGCACACTTATTATTGGTGGTTCTTTTTTCTTTTTTTGGGTTCATTATTGGTGGTCTATGTTTCCTTCCTCCTTTGAACGATAGCTTCTGTTTGTTTATTTTTGTTGGGAACATGTTCCCAACCTATCGGAGACAATTTGCTTATATTATGGAATTAAAAGTTAATAAGGTCATTAGCATATATAACTTTGAATTAAATTTAAAATAAATAACTACATTTGACTGTATAAAACTTTTTTTTTCATTCTGTAATAATATTAAAAAAAAATCTAAGTCCTACATTGACTAGATTAGACAATTCTCACTTTATAAATTAATTTTATAAGATTGAGTTAGATTCAAATTCAGTATTCTAATATAGTATTAAACTATCTTATATTCTTAAAAAAAGTCACAAAAGAGCCACCAATCATATATCCACGTACCAAATCCAGTAGTGTTGAATGTAAGATGGTGTATTGGAAAAAAGTCAAGTCTCACATTGATTTTTATCTTACACATCAATTTTATAAGATTGAATTAAATTCAACTTGATTATTCTATAAAATAAAAAATCTTCATATCACTATATCATCCTATTTATTAAAATAATGTGACACCAAAA